AAAACGAAAGAGGGTTTATCGAGTACGACGGATCTGAGGAAGCTTCCGCCGTCGAGATCTTCCAGTCCATCTATCAACAACTAACACCAGAAAGAAGATTACAATTAGCGAAATTAGATTACATCAATGTCAAACTATGTAACGAATGTCTCATACCTTGTGACACCGATCTTTGTGCCGACTGCGTACAGCCGTACATAGAAAAGAAAGAGGACTTCGAAGAAAGACATAAAGAGAAAGGAAAAGCGAAGGAAATCGTCAAGCCTCTAGAAAATAAAAACAAAGTAGAAGAGGAAGGATCAGAAAAAGACGAGTGGGAACAGATAATTATTCAAGCTGAAGAACTTACCCAAAAAATCCGAAGCAAACATCAACGAAAGCAAATTGAAATAACTGAACAATTATTCCAGATCTTGGGATTAAAACCTGTGCAGTCGACATCGGTCTTGGAGATTCAGGAGATCCAGAAGACCTTCTCCGAATTATTTGAATATTTGCAGGAAGCCCAAAAAGAAGTACAGACGATGGAATTTAACTCTGATACTGATAGCGCCTATGATACCTGTGAGGAAATTTTAGAAGAATATTATTCGAATGATGAAGAGAAGAACAATACCCAGGAAGTAAAGATCATGAATTATGCCATTAAAGTTTATAATGATAAAGGAAGAGGAACCATACCTCAACGAGCCCATTCAACTAATGCCAGGTTTGATCTCTACTATCCTGGACAGCTAGAACTCAAATTGGAACCACGCCAAACAATTGTTATCGATCTATACATCGCTATGGAAATACCGGAAGGAACAATGTGCCAACTAATGTCCCGCTCTTCCTTGGTCAAGAAAGGAATCGAAGTTAGAGGAGGAACGATTGACGCCAGATATACAGGAAACATCAGGGTAATTCTGACGAATTCTTCAGAACAATCATATACAATCAGACCAAATGATCGAATCGCTCAGGCAGTTTTATTACAATTGGCACCTGTAGAAGAACT